TAGGGAAAGTGGGGCTGTATAAAAATCCTTTATTATGCCATATTGAAAATAAATGCTTGCTTTATTCTGGAGAAGACAAGAGTTTACTTTTCTCTTCCAAATCTGTCTTAAAATTCAGTGTTGGGTAAACAGGTAATGTTTGTGTATAGCTGTGGGCAGAAAAGGCAGGTTAAAGCAAGACACTGCAGAGTTTTCTGAGTGTGAATATGGTGTAATGTGGCTTTTGGGGTCTGTCTGTAGCTTTAGCCCTGGCACAAACTGGCTTTTTATGTTTGTTCTGTGGCTAAACAGAGTGGGAAGAAAGTCTCTGGGACTCCTTTAACCAGTGGCTGTCATATAAGCAATCAGTTTACGAAAAAGATAAGTATATGTAAGAAAAAAACACCCATGGACTTGTATGATAACGAGTGAAGTTTGTACATCATGGGGGAGTTGCTTGCTGAAACAATGCTGGATACTTGGCTGTTCCCTAACATAAACTTTGCCTTTAGGGAAACAATGTCTGTTTTTTTAATTAGGTGATTGTAGTTTTCTTGAATTGCTAGCCAGTGAACAATACACGTGAAATTGCCTTTCCAGATGCTCAGTGTCTCATGTTTTGTGAATTGCTTAGGTTGCAAAATGAATCGGCAGCCAGTGAAGTCCTTGCAACCATTCAAAACTACTTCAGAACACAACCTTTTGAATTTAGGGGTGCACAAATCATAACTGGGCCAGAGGAAGGGGTGTATGGATGGATAACAGCCAACTATTTAATGGGCAATTTCTTAGAGGTGTGTGGAAAAAACTGCATGTTTGTTGTTGTTTTTTTTCCCACTGTTTCTTGTAAATGAGAAGTTTGAGGGGATATGCCTAACACATCATAGCTGTAACTTTTCACTGAAATATGTAACAGGGTCTTTTTGTGGCAGTAATAGAATGAAGCAAACATTAATCAAAGAATATGATGCTACAGGAATGCATTAAGGCACAGGTCAAATTGTTGATCCACAAAACAGGGCTCTTCCCTAAATGGCATCGGTTGCCTTCCCTAGAAACAGGAGTTGCCTTGCTCTGAAGTGCACTGGTATCTTGTGTGACAGGTGCTGATTGACTTGTCCGTGGTGCCAACTGAAGATGTTTGCTGTCACTTCCTCAGGTGGTTGCTGTCCCTGCAGCTGTCCTGGTGAAGGATCTGCACAGCTTAAGGGTCTCCAAATGGTTTTGCAGTGTTGGCTCACTTGTCTTAAGCGGACAAGGCTGTTTGAAGCAGTGAAGGTGATGAAGTTGCTGTGGCCAAATGTGCCTCGGATGAGCCAGAAGTCACTCAGACACAATTCATTCCAACAGTGCTGAAAAGCTGAGGGCTGTGAGGAGTGGGCTGTGATACCAGCTGTCTTGTGCAGTGCCAACTGGTGCCAATATAGACACTTATGCTGTCCTTGAACCCACAATACAGTCAGGTGGGAGCCTCATAGCAGAGAACAAGTCAAATGTGTTGGGAGATCCCTTTTTATATATGTCCTGTATCATTTAATTCCCAGTAAAAGCTGTGCCAAGCTGATCAGCAACTGTTCATCTGCATTCATGGTGTCAGTGTGCTGCCCTTAGCATTAACTGAACTTCTTCCAGGTAGTCTCACTAGGTTGAAAGAAGTTTCAACCAAACCCCTAGGTATTGTTAGCTGTCGTGGTTGAACAGTTCCTGTTAGATCATGGTGATCAAATTAATATGAATTAGTTCTTGATGATTTCACTGATAGGTCATGGTGAATGTGTTGTTGACTCTTGCAAAGTTACGAAAAATGGTGTTGAAATCACACGTTCTAGAAGAGTTTTTCTCATTGTGTGCATTTCTTGCAACAAAAATGACGTAACGTACTTCAGGGTGATGTCAGTGCTCTACACATTAATTTTAATCATCCAAAGATCAAATCCCACATGGCAGATTTAAAAGGACTACTGAAGGGACTGCAAGTCCATGTGGAGCCATTTTAGTATACAGTCGTGTGAAATATCACTAGCAGGAGAGAGACACTTTTCACCATTCTTGTGACAATTGGCTGAGTCAAATTCTGTTAGGGGCTGTTAATAGGAATCTTTCATTGTAGAATTTTCTTGTATATTTGCTAGTCCATAAAGTTTCTTATACCTTCTTGTGTTTACATTCATGTGGTCATGTTCAGTAAATAATACTACAGTTAATACTGAAATGAATAATAATACAAAAGCTATATTCTCCACTGTGACTATGTAGATGAAATACAGAATTTTGAAGGATGTTTTGGGTAATAGGGAAAAATGCCAGTTGAATGGATCAGATTTATTGTCACTGCAGTTTCAGTGAAGGAAATGTGCAGATTAGAGATCTTTTTTTTTTACTGTGAGAGAGCTTTCATTTGACCTTGTGTTTTTCAGTCTGTTTTCACTCTCTTCTGTGTGATTTCTTATTTTGCTATCCCTTTAATCCGTCTTGACTTGAAACAAGCAAATCTTCATACTGTTTTAATCCAGATTTCTTCAAGACATCATGGATATCTGGACTTCAGTTCCCTGTATTCTAGTACAGATATTGATCTGGATAGTCCTGTGTTTTTATCATTGTGCTGCCTCTGAGTCAAAGGCTATGCTGCATTTCTTTTGCCATCTTTCAGTATAATTTCACTATGTGAAAGTACATCCCTCTTATGTAAAAAACATCTCCATGTTTTCCTGAGAGCTAAGGGGTTTTTTTTGTTTTGTTTTGGTTTGTTTGTTTGTTTTTAACGGGTGCAGGACAAAGAGGTGGGGGGGAGGAAGGGGTCTCAAAAAGTTAAGTAAACTGTAGAAAAGCTTGAAGAGGGAGAACAAGCAGATGATATTTCTAATTAGCTTTGGTTTTATTTTTTACATGTAGAGGAACCTTTGGAGGACATGGGTCCATCCTTACAGAAAAGAAACTGTGGGTGCACTGGATCTTGGAGGAGCTTCTGCTCAAATTTCATTTATTCCAGAGGACTCTCAGGATAATTTCAACAGCACCTTGCAAGTGAAGTTATATGGTTACAACTACAACGTCTACACTCACAGCTTCCCGTGCTATGGGAGAGATGAAGCTGAGAAAAGGCTTTTAGCATTGATGCTCCAGGTGTGTTTTAGGACCCTTTGTGATGTTGCTTTTGCAGGTGTTCAGTAATTGTCTGAGCAGGTTCTTAGGCTTGTGTTGGCTTCCCTTTGGCGTTTGGAGACCCTGGTAAGAGCTATGTTGCAATTAGTTGTGGACAAATGCACTTAGGTTTCATAGTTTTTCATATTTCTTAACAAGTAGTGAGAGTTTTGTACCATCTGACAAAGAAGCCAAACTAGCCCTGGTAGTGTTTTAATGATCTTGCTGATGTTTTTTTGAGGAAGAAGCTTCTGTGAATTCAAATTAGGTCTTTCTTTCTTTTGGGTGGCCTTTATTGCTAGGAGGGTTCTATTTATTTATTTTCTTCCAGAAATCAAACAGCAGTTCTAAGGTGGATAATCCATGTTACCCTCGGAATTACAATACTGCATTAACAATGAAGTACTTCTCTGGAAGCCTTTGTACACAGTCTGTGAGACCAGCAAATTATGACCCAAACCAGCGTGTGAACTTCCATGGAACAGGAGATCCAAGTCTGTGCCAGGAGATGGTTTCTTTATTGTTTAACTTCACTGCTTGCAGAGACAGAGAATACTGTCTGTTTAATGAAATCCATCAGCCCAAAGTTAAAGGGAGTTTTGTGGTAGGTTTGCAAATGCAGCATTTCTTTTTGAGCTTGGTTGCTTTTGATTTCTGCAGTTCTGAAAGTAACAGGCCTGTCATCGACTCCTCTTCTGTAGGCTTTCTCAGGATTCTACTATACAATGAATGCTTTGAATTTATCTGGGCACTTCTCCCTAGCTGACTTCAATTCAAGTGTGTGGTTTTTCTGTTCACGGAGCTGGGCACAGGTAAGTGGGTGGCTTGCAGATTTTTTCTTTTTTCTGTTTTCTCCTGTATCTGTAAAAGGAACAGAAAGACTGGACAAGTACTCAGAGCTTTTCAGAAGGTCTGTATCAACTTCAACGTTTGTTTTCCCACTGAGCTTCAAACCATGTAGCAATTCTAGCATGCTTAAAACTCGGACTAAGTTTGGAATTTTCATTCCCCTTCATTCTAAGATGAGTTTCTGGCCTATATTGAAATGTGGCCAAGCAGTGTGTTCATTTTCCTCTTTTTATCTTTGAGCTTTGCACAGCTGATGTCACAGAGGTAGTAAGGGCTGTTGCAACTGAATATATGTTGTATGAATTTTAAGCATTTCAGGGAACTAGAGATTATCCTGGTGGAATTTTTTTAGAAGGCTGATAGGATAGATCGGTTTAGATTTTAAAACTCAACTGGACTGACATTCATTAAAAACACACTTCAATCTCACATTATCAGCAATATTACTACGTATTCAAAGCAATTAGTACTCATCAGTTGTGTCTTACATTATCTGTGAGCCCACAGTAGCACAGAGCTGATGCAGTGCAGTTGGAGCTGATGAGATGGAATTAGCACTTGTCACATCCCACCAAGTGGGCACAGCTCCCCAGAGATGGCGGCCCAAGTTAAATACCTCATCCCACAAGGTGGGTACAGTGGTATGTTCCACAAAGTAAGCATGGGTAGGGTTCCCTAGAGGTGGGGGTCAACCCAGGGAGATTCGGATCCAATCCTCCTCTCTTAATCCCTTTTAGCAACTCATTTAGTGAGACTAATCTCTGGAATTCTGTGTGGTATTCTAAGAGGAAGGACAGTGTCCAGTTTGTCAGGGAGGTTACCAAACGAGGAGCTCTCCTTGCAAGAACAGGGTCAAGGTGGCTTATTGAATGAGGTTGCCACCCAAGCACAGTGTCTGGTTTGTCAGCGTGGCTGTTTTGAGACAATTACTCATTTTGGGACCCTACAGCACTGCTGCCTGAGGAACTTCTACTGGTGGAAGGCAAGGGGTTTCTTTATTTATTTAATTATTGTCCTCACAGAGTTAATCTGAGGGAAAGGCATAGTCTCATTTTTTGCTATTACTTAGGCTAAGAAAAGCAAATTGTTCCCAGTTGGCAATCCATGACCTTTTCTGAACATCTTTCACCCAGTGGTTCTTCATTTTCTGGCTTTCTTGATCTGTCTCTCTGTGTATTTCTGGGACATTCAGGTCCTGATCTTCTCGTAAACACTGGGACTTGCAACAGCACTTCCAGATCAGGCTGGGAGATCAAAGCACTTTTCTTGGGTCTATCATGATCCAAACGGGCACCCCAGGTTGCAGTTGGCAACCAAAGAGCAGTCTTGTGATACAACATGTCCTATGTGACTTGCAGGGATCTTTATTTAATGGAGGTTTAACTCTGTATTTTTCTAGTTCTACAATATTCCTTATGCCCTGTTCTGGTCTCAGCTCTGTTAGTATGAACCTGGAGTAAATCAACAGATCTATTTTAAATTTGCAAGGAGGTACCTCAGATCATCAAGCTGGCTCCCTGTTTGCATTCATTTTGTTGCTAGCATTTCCTATTGTAACTTATCATCATCACTGCCACATACAAGGCTGACTCTGTCTGTGGTCCTCTTTTGGAGATTTGAGGCCATGGTTTACTACCACAGTTTTAACCATGCTGTAAGCATGACATGGAACAACTCAAGATCCATAACAGCTTGAATCTTTTCTATGCAGTTTTATGTTTAATTTCTTTTTTTTACAATATAAGCTATATAACTGTCAGGGTCTTTCTTTTTCTAAATTTCCATATCTAATTGTCCACAGCTCTACTTGGTGTTTCTGAAAAATGGTAATAAAGTCTAATTAGAATCCAAAGTATTCTCTAGTTATAGAAAACAAAAGCACTTGTTTTTCATAATTTACATGTTTTTTAAAAACCTTTTGCTTTCAGCTCCAGTTTATGCTGCCTAAATTTGAAGAAACATATGCTAGATCCTACTGTTTTTCAGCCAATTTCATTTATTACTTGCTTTTACATGGTTATCACTTTGATGCAGAAACTTGGCCACAGATACATTTTCAAAAGGAGGTGAGTAATAATCATTTCCTCTTACTGTTATTTTAATCCAAAGAAGGTTAGAAGGAGACAGGAGATGCAGCAGCCTACAAAAATATAACAGTTGTAAAATGTTTGGCCTAAGAAAAGGTCACTTCAAGTCTCAGTAGCAAGTTCAGCCTGGTTCCAGAGACTGCAGCATTACTTGGAGATGTTGCCTAGGTTCTTTTAAAAAGCTTTAAGATAGGGTCAAACACTTGTGTTTTAAGCCTTGTCCCAGTTGTTGAAGTAGTGACTTGGCTCTAGGTGCCTGAAACACCTTGCCAGTTGAGGTCTGTTTGAGCTAACAAACTGTTTTTCTGTCTGCTGGCAGAGCCCTGGGGGAGCCAGCAGAGCTGGCAGTAGTCATTGAGTGATGAGGAAACAACTAGGGCAGTTTTTATCCTCAGCTGGCACGTCCATCTGTGCTGTAATCTGGTTCTCTGGGATAAGAATGTGTGGTGATGGGGTATTGGCTTTCAGTTGGCAGAGAGAAAAGGCTTAAACAATGCTTGGGTAATAGCTGTGTTTCTCTCTTCTCTGACCTCAGTTTTTTTTCCTAAAAACAGAGTACTTGGGATGAATTTGTATATACCCATTCTAAAGCTACAGCTAAGAAGACTTTGCTTCCAAATTACAAGGCATGGCCACTATCTGAACTTAGCTGGTTATAACAAGAAGTGTGGTCCCCTCAGTAACACCATCTTTTCTTCCCTGCTATTCTGTAGAGCCTTTTTTCTAAAACTCTATCTGACCTTCCTTGGCCCTTCACATTAGGAGGAAATTCACTATGGGGGTGGTGAGACACTGGGAGAGGTTGCCCAGGGAAGTTGTGGAGGCCCCATTTCTGGAAGTGTTCAAGGCCAGGTTGGATGGGGCTCTGAGCAATGAATGTTGTCTATTGGGGGTGTCCCTGCTCGTATATGGGGGTTGGATCTAGATGGCCTTTAAGGTTCCTTCCAACCCAAACCATTCTGTGGTTCTGGGATATAGTTTGGAAATGCTTCAGCACTGGCATGCAAAACCAACACACAAAAACGTTGTAGATCTTTATGCAGTGCTTCTAAGTGCAGGGTATGCTGGTGAGTTGTCAGTGAGAAGCTGTGAGCCTTTAAATCACTTCTTAATCCCAGTGACCAATTTTATTAGCATCCTCTGGAACTAGAAAAAAGGGCAATTTAAAATGGTCCTGTATCATCTGTGTATACTGCACTAAAGTTTTCTCCTTGCTAACTTAAAGGGCTGTTGCCAACATCATGATACCACTTGTTTTCTGAACAGTCATATCTATTACTAGTGGACTAGGGAACCAAATAAGACTTCCTTGCCTTATTTTGTCTTGTATTGGACAGACATTAGGAGCTCTGGAGGAGTGTCCATAGTTAGTCCTTCTACTGGGAAATCAGCACAGAGCTTACTCTGGGCTCTTAATCTGGACCTGTTGGGGTGGATTTGTCTTGGTATATACATATACCTTGTATTGTCCCCAGCAGATAGGAGCAGCCACGTGCAGGAATGTTTTTTTACAGTTAGCTATGACTACAAAAATACTGAGCAAAATGAAAACCCAAAAGGCTTATTTAAAATTACCACCTTGTTACCTAGATTTTGCACTAGGAAAATCATGACACTCCAAAAGGAAAGACTGCATTCATTTAATTAGATCTGCCCCAGAAAGAACAACAATAGTAATACCTAATGTAACTGGTCAGCCAAGCTACCCCAGAGATAACACCACCGTTTCTCCAAGAGTGGAGGGTGGGTTTCTTTGCTTATGCTAAAAGAATAATGTAATTATTAAACACAACTATTGAAAAGAACCTTAACCAAATGCTACTATCTGGGCAGTATCTGGAGCTAGATGACTTGCAGAAGTTTTAAACCTCATAATGAGAGCTTTTCCCCCTCTCCTAGCAATGAAAAAACAGATTCATCCATCTTGCCTCTTTGCTTATGTGTCCTATTCCAGTTCCTGCTGCTATAGCTTTCTTTTTATCAGTTAACCAAAAGGTATTAGGATATAGATAGCTACAAAAAGAACCAAATATTATAGGCCTTTATGGTCTCCTTCAACCAGTAGCTGACTGCTTGAAATTGTTCACTAAAGACATTAAATAACTTGTTAAAAGTTCATCCCTTAGCTTCATCATGACACTTTTAATACAAGAATAACCAAAGAAGTTTGATTTCCTAAGTGAGCTTTCCCAAATTTAAGCAAACTATTTAGGGGCAGCCATTCAGATAAACTCTGTAGTAGCAGAGTAGGATGACCTGTAATAGAGATGGAAAACCAAATGAGTTTGGGAGAGCTTGTTGGTTGCAGAAGAACACAATTTCAGCTTTATGACTGCCTTGTAGCACACTCTAGAACTGCCTGGAGTGATTTGAAAGTGGTGCAGGCCCTTTGAAAAAGAAAGCGACCTATGATAAAGTTTAAGCCAAATATGTATCTTGTAGCTGGCTTTCAAGGCTGCTCTCTTTTAATAAGTTCCACTGGTTCTCTTGAAATTCTTGCCCTTATTTTTTCACTATATTTAACAATAGATATTTTTTTTAGGAGTAGTAATTTGATTTGTAGGAGGAAATTGTTTGTTTATACGTTTTATATAAATAGACAAATCGTTATTGGAGTCTGGGAACATGGGAGGAGGACAAGGGTCACTATCTGCACCCTTTGATCCTGTACTTAAGTGGCAGAATGATGATTTAATGAAAAAAGCAGTGGAAAATTGATAAACACTTGCTCAAATTAGCAATGTAACAGGACCATGGAACAAATACAAATGTATGCCTTCTGTTTGTTAAGTAATGTTCCACTTATGCTTATTTTTTAAATGGAAGAGCCTTGTGCTGATTCATTTCCAGGCACAAAACCAACCATCAAATAAAAGGTTTCCTACTTTTGGGGCTTTACCTTGGCCTCCTCTTTATCTGTATCTGTGGGACTCTTTGTGGGGTTTTTGCTTGCCTGAACTAAGTAACATCCTAGGATTTGGCTAAGTTGAGAGGCTAATTGTAGGAATTAGGACAGCAGTGCTTACTTTTTTTTTTTTTAATTAAATCTTTCTCGCACAGAAAATCCCATAAGTGTCTGCATGGATACCACACATCCTTGTGCCTCTCCATCTAATACACGTGTCTCACTTCTTTAGCCCAGTGACCAATTGTATTAGCATCCTCTGGAACTACAAAAAAGGAGTCATTTTAAATGGTTCTGTATCTTTGAAAACTACACTAAAGTTTCACCCTTGCTAGCTTAAAGGGCAGTTGCCAGCATCAGCAATTGAGCTTTTGGAACCTCTTTCCTTTGACTGAAAAAGTCTATGGGAATAGGACTCTTCTGTCTTTATTGCAGGTTGGTAACAGCAGCATTGGATGGTCACTCGGTTACATGCTGAGCCTCACCAACATGATTCCAGCAGAAGGCAAGCTGATCCAGTTACCTCTGAAGCCTTCTCTGTTTGCTGGGCTCCTCATCTTCCTCACAGCCATGGCATTGATGTGTTTTCTCTTCCTTGTTTACCTGTGTGTTGTATCACGTAGTCGGAAGAACATCAGTCATGTTGAACATGTATTTATTTCAGAATGAACTTTACTGAAGAACAAACAAAAAATGTTGCAGTACTGTTAAGTATAGGAGTTTATTTTTGAAAAATGGAGGGCAGAATAAAGAGAGGCAAAAAAAACTTCAGGACCAGAAGCATAAACAGAGATGAGACACAAAGGAATCTGAAGTTATGCTGAAGTGGAGTGTTTTTGAAATATTTTTACAACTCTTTCTGTAAAACTAGCTTGTCCAGCATGCAGCAGAGAATATGCAGACAGTCACTTTACTTGATAAGGCTTCAATAGCCTTTTCCTGTCAGGTATGTATTATTAGGTTTTTTTCATTAACTCTTTGCTAACTGGTGAACTGAAGTGATGATCGATTTGATCCTGGTGATGGTTGTTTAACTTAAAATGAAACAAGTTGGTAGGAATTCGTGGGAGGCAGGAATATAACTGTTCTTGTGTGCAGTGCCAATGTTAAAAGCCCCCCAGAAACCTAATTTCTTGAACTGGAACAAGCACTGGGCGATGACAGGAACTGAAAGGAACAGCTTATACATAAAGGAATAATAAACTGCCAACACCTCTGGACTTTGAAGTCTATTTTGAAACTGAGCTCTATGTTTCAGTACCGTGGAGATCTATCTCAGAATGCTTCTTCTGTGCTATGGATGTGCTTTGAAGGTGGAACAAAACGCTTTGATGATTTAGTACCTGAGCCTAAATTTAAATGTGTCATAGTCACATCCAGAAGCCACTGGAGTTTTCAGTGTCCTTTTCTCAGTCTTTCACATAAATACTTTTTGTAAGTTCTCATACTGAAGCACTGAGCTGTATTCCCCAAGTCTGGTTGATCTCAGACAGTCATAGTCAGTTGTGACTTGCCATGTGCATCTTATTTCAACTGTCTGTGTCAGCTCTCAGACCTAGAACCTTCTGAAGCATTAACACGTTAAGCCCTTCGTCCAAGGCCAAGAGGAAGAGGAGCCAGCCTGCAGGCCAGCAGGACACCCTTTCTGTAGCGGGTTTGGGAACACATGGCTGGAGTTGCAGTCATGGCAGTAGCACCTTGCTCAGCCTTCCCAATCTCCTGGCCTCAGTGTTCCTTCAGCAGCACTGGGAGCTGGAATGGGACCACTTTACATGACCAGCTCTCTGCAGGTTGGCAGGTGCTGGTCAGTCCTCCCTGGTGCACAGTGCCACGGCAGTCCTTCTTGGCACATGGAGCCACACCATACTGGATTCCAATGGCACATAACGTGTTTTACATCCCAACTTCTCACCTATTCCCCAATTAGGTTGTGAGCTGGGAGAGCTGTGGCCAGTATTCTTACCCATGAAAGGTATTTTCAACTTCTGCCTTTTGTTTCTATACCATCTTCTTACTTTCAGGTTTCATTGCAGATGGGCTTTTGTTTTGTTTTTTTCACAGCTGATAGATAATTTGAAAGGAATTATATTTTTAAATGGAAAACAAAAAAAAAGTGATTTTTTGAGAGGATAAGCAGTGAGGGCTCAGTCCCTTTTGTTGGTCGACTGCTACATCCTTCCAGTTGTACTGGAGTAGCAGTACTTAAAATAAGGCAGAAGGTATTACAAGATGATCAAGTTTTATGTGGCACTCAAGTTACATCTGATAAAACATAAAATTTACTTCAGAATGCATGGACATTACGTAGGTAAGATAAAAGCTTTATCTTTTGTGTGATGGAGCTGGAACTGTAGTTAAGGGTAAAAAAAAAAAAGGCAGTTGGATGAGAGCATTAAAAATGTTTCCTTCAGTTGCCAAATTTCTGTGAAAAAAATGGTATTCTGGAATATTTAGTGGTTGTTTGTGAATGGCAGGGCTATTCAGACTTTTTTGCACAAATGGAACATGCTTAGAGGTTAGTCTCTGTAGAGATGGCAGCTAAAGAACATGAGATTGAAAATAATTTATACTTCCAGATGTACTTGGACAGAGCCAGTATCTGTTCAAAGATGCCTTCCCTCCATGAATCACCTTCCGTTCTCTTTTTTTCAGTAGTTCCCTCTTCTCCCTATGTGTATAATCTTCCTCCTGTATCACCAGGATACCCACCTGCCCAGTCTTGTGTCTCCTGTCAGTTTCATCTGGGAGAGCTGAAATTCCTGAACGGCCAGCCAGGCACAACCCTTAGCCTACAGCTGCTTCCAGGGCAGCACCGTGGCTGTGGCTGTGTCACAGTAAAAAAAACCCACTGCTTGGACATGAATTCAGCTTGACTCCCCTTGGCTCTAGTGGGTACTTCTGGAGGGGAGGCTGATTGTTTCAGTAACCCTATCCAGATCCTCTTCCAAGTGTGAGTCACAACCAGGTCAACTGGTGTACTGTCATCAGCTGGTTACCCTGTCATCTAGAACTGAACAGATCTCTGGGAGAGCCAGTGAAGAGAACAGCATTTGGGAATGTGTACAAACTAGGTTATTTATCTTTCTATACTCTTTACTGCCTGCTTATGAAGATTAATAAAATCAAGTTGTGAAAAGCTAAGTTAAGTAGCTGTTTCCATGTGTGTGTTTCCTTGTTTCCTTTCTTTCCCAATATTGTTTTCATCCTGCTAATAGTTTATTCTTACCAGAGGGACAGGAAATCTCTGAAATGCCTTCCTGGTGGATGGAACTTTGCAGGGTGAGAAACTGATCAGGTGAGATTCTGGAACAGACAATTGCTGCTTATCTCCAGAATCTATGTTCTTAGTGAGGAAACTCTCATGGTTAAAATCAAGCCACTCTTCTGTTTTGTTTGGTGGGTTTTTTTAATGTATACACAGCACATATGTACAAACAACTTTTAAACACTGTTGGCATTTCAGTTGGAGACACTGACACTTTCTAGGGCTTCTTGAAGTTTCACCAGTGTAATGTCAAACTGAAAGCTTGTGTGCCAAAGAGAAGCAGCAATTCCCAGTTATCAAAGACAATAGGTTGAGATACAGGTGTTTGAGAAAAAGAACTGTCACATTCAGAATAGGGATGGGATTATGCAACATGAAAAAAACCCCATATGTGGTGAAGCAGCAGGAAATAAATCGTCAGTAGAAAGAGGAGAGAAATGAAATGCATATGGACAATTTCTGGGAGGGGGGTGGAGTGATAAACTTCTTTTAAAGCAGAACTTGGCAGAAGAAAGCAGTAACTTGTACTGTAATTCAGCACTGATAAGATCAGTTAGGAGGGCAGAAAAGTAAGCAACACTATGATGGTCAATCATACCCCAATTTAGGGAGATTTTTATTAAATTTTAAAATTCAATTATTATTTCAGGAACAATATATGTTCACTTAGATGGCAATGAAGACTGTCACAAAAAGTGCTCACCTGTACTTGAGTGGGGTTTTCTTGTGTAGTAAGAGGAAGGCAGTTACCTGCTTACGTGCTCAGCAACACTTGTGCAGGCCTAGTGTATGTTTTCAGAAGAGTATTCATGGGAGAAAATGTTTTTGAGCTTTAAGTCTGGGATTGTTTTCAGTGTTTGATGTTAAGGCACAGCCCACGTTTGGATGCCCCTTCCAGTTGTTTATCACCTTAACAGCTGCAGAAATGCACGCAGGCAAGTTATGTAGAACAGATGTTGCCCTCACGTTCAGGGAGTCATCGATGCAGTCACTGCTGATGTTTGAGGGTCTCTGCTACAAACCATCCAAGGGTCACTAATAACCCCCAAGATGTAAGTAGTACTGGAGAGTAACATTAGCTCAAATGGAGAAAATTAAAAACACTGGTTTTGCAAATCACGGCAAAATGGAATAATCCAGAAGCCGTCATCTTCTACTGACTTGACCTACAACATGTTTAAAAATAACCGGTTTAATAAATGTATTAATATATTGCAGTCGTAAAACACAGGAAAATAATAATATTGCTGTGATGGTGTCCTGGTGGGGACTTTCAGAAGTGCCTGAGGGAGTCAAGTGCTCATTACCATGTCAACGATCCGTTCCCTGAGCACTCACATAAAACATCCACACCATTTAGAATTGCTTAAGTGTAAAAGCCAAACTGCACCAACACTGAAGACAGCCGAGCTGGGATGTTTTGCTCCCCCGCCGACAGGAGCCCCAGCAGCAGGAGGGTCAGACCCACCTCCCGCAGGGCCCACGCGTTGCTGCCCCCAAAGCCGCCCCTGCAGCCAAGGTTTTGCTCTCTAGAAACGCCGTCCGTGGGGCAGCGCGGGTGGGACGGGGCGGGAGCTCCCGGGCTGCTCTCTGGAGCTGGGCTGGGACGTGCTGCCGGGAGAGAAGGAAGGGGTTCCTGTGGCAGCGGGGGGGTGT